ATGTTCATTCACGTTTTAAGTCTGAAACTATAAAAAGCTGATTATAAAAGCTTTTTGACTAGAAAAGATGGGCTTTTCACTGGGGAATCCCTGAATGTCATTATGTAGAGGTCCTCTTTCTATGACCTTTAACACTTTTAAAGGAAAAAAGAATCTTCCATTCTTCTGCTATGAATGTGTGGAAGTTTAAACGGGGCTATCTTCTTTTTGGCTTGAACAAGGGAAGGAAAATAATGTTCTCAGTGCCTGGTAGGTAGACCTTATCTCAGTCTCCAGTTTCCGTCTGGCACCTCCCCTGCACATTGTACCGTTCTTGGTTTCCCTAGGTTTGAACTCTGGTTCCATTTCTCTGTAGAATAAAACTGTTGTCTTGTGAGGAAGAATAGTAACACAATGGTGTGGGGTTGGGGAGAGAATCTGGGCATTTAACCATGTCACACTCACCACCCCCTTCTAAAGTACCTCATGCTTTTAATTCCTGAGACATTTTGGGGTTTTGTGGATACCCCTCTGTAGGTCCTTGGTATTCAGCTTTCTCAGTGTTGTTAGCTTCTTTTTTTTTCTGCTTCTAGAAGTATATTCACATTGTTTGGTATTGTTTCCTTTTCATTCTCTTTGTCCTAGTGGGTTAATGCATTTTTATTTCTTCGTACTCACTTTTATTGAAGATAAATGTTTGTGTTCAGTTCATCGTGTTTTATCCAGCACATCGCCTCTACTTACTTTCTCTTTTCCAAAAATTGATTGAAATCATCTCCTGTTTTCTTTCATTGTCTTTGTTATTATTATTTAACAGCTTTTAAACTTTTTTCCTTTCATGTTAGAAGGATTTTCATAGAAATAAGTGATAAATATGATTAACTTACTGTATTTACCATACAACCCACTTTGGGTATTTCGTCAAGATAAATAAAAACATATGTTCACTCGAAAATCTGGAAATATTTATAGCAGCTTTATTTATAGTCACCTATAACTTGAAGCAATCCAGATGTCCTTCACTTGGTAAATGCACAGTCGTGATATATCCTTACAATGGAGTATATTACTCAGCAATAAAAAGGAATGAACTGCTAATACACCCAACAATGTAGATGAATTTCAGATGCATTATGCTAAGCGACAGAAATCAGATTTTAAAAGCTGTATACTATACAATTCTATTTATATACCATTCTGGAATGGTCAAACTATGAGGAGCAGAAGACAGATCAGTGTTTCCCAGGAGCTGGGGTGGGAAAAATGAATTGCTATACAAGAGAACTTAAAAAAAATCACAGGGTAATTTTTGAAATTCCGAGCTAACTTTGTGTGTGTGTGTTGTGCGTGTGTGTGCATGTTCATAAACACAGATAAGCATGCGTGTTCTTTGCCATAAATTTCCCCTTTTATCATTATAAACTAATATTAAGTGCTTATTGAGAAATGCCTCTTTTCTTCATTATACATTATCAAAAAAGAAGATAAAGTAAGTTTGTATTTATTCTTGTTTAGAAAAGGAGAAATGAATTTTTACTTTATAAATCTTAATGAGAAAAGGCTATAGTAACCTCAAAGAAGTTTTCAAGCTTCATGTTTCATAACTTTTTTAGAGACATTTGAAATTTCATTGTTGTTACTGCTGTTAATTTTAGGTTGTTAGAAATTAAGTTTCCATTATGGTTAATTCCACCTTAAACATATTGCTGCTTCTTTTTCCAATTTGGAGTGTAGTATTTTGCCCTGTAACCTGGAATCTCTGAAAATTCTAAGAAGAGTTGATTTTTCATTTTGTTTAGATTTTTACTTGTTGCTCAGATGGAGTGGCAACTTAAAAGCTCCATATTTGACATTTCTCCACCAAAGATATACAAATGGTGAACTAGCAAATGAAAAAATGCTTGACATCATTAGTCATACAAATCAAAACCTCAATGAAATATCACTTCGCACCTACTGGGATGGCTAGGATCAAAAAGTTGGATAGCAACAAGTGTTGGCAAAGACATGGACAATTTGGAACGCTTGAACACTGCTGCTGGGAATGTAAACTGGTCCAGCTGCTTTGACAAACAATCTGGTACTTTCTAAAATGATTAAACATAGAATTACCTACCATATGACCTAGCTATTTAACGCTTACGTATATGCCTAAGAGAGATGAAAATATACATTCATATAAAAACTTATGAATGTTCGTAGCAGCATCATTCATAAAAGCCAAAAGTTGGAACAACCAAAATGTCTATCAACAGATAAGTGAATAAACAAAATGTGATATATCCACACAATGGAATATTTTTCAGCTTTAAAAAGGATCGAAGTACTGATACAATGTAGAGGAACCTTGAAAACATTATTCTAAGTGAAAGAAGCCAGTCACAAAAGACTATATACTATATGATTCCATGTATATGAAAGTTCAGAGTAGAGAAGTCTTGAGAGACAGAAAATAGATTAGTGGTTGCTGAGGGCTGGGAAAGCAGTTCAGCACTTAAGTGAGTGATAGCTAAAGGATAAAGGATAGCTAAAGGATACAGTTCCTTCTTGAAATGATGGAACTGTAAAATTTATCGTGGCGATGGTTACGCTACCTGTGAATATATTAGAAACCACTGAATTGTATACTTTAAATGGGTGACTTGTATGGAATTATGAATCTATCTTAATAAACCTGTTAAATGAAAGAGATTAGGATATTCTAAAATATATATATAATAATCAACATATTGAATGGCAAGAGACCAAGCATTTACCAGTAGCGCCTCTTGAAGCCCTCCCTCCCCCTCTCATTTTCTCTTTGCACTCCAAACCTGAGTGTGGAAGTTCAACAGCATGTGGTACTGCCAATACCCCTTAGAGTCATTGCCACCTCTTGTGGTCTGACTCAAGCTGAAAGAGAAGGGAGTAGGGGTGGGAGAAAGGATTTCTCTAAACCATGGCTCATGCCAAGCATAGGGCTTGCAGTTAACCAGTGGTAAAGCACCCAGGAGGCAACTGGCTACAAAAAGTTCTTTCAGAAGTACACCCTCTCCCGGGCAGAGGAAGGGGGAGGAGGGAAGGTGAAGATACCTCATTGTTACAGCCCTGGTACCGGTTCTGTGGCATGTGATATTAGATTGCTCTAAGTTCAAAACAAACCTGTGCTCATAAATATAGAGGACAATCTGGTGACAGCCAGAGGGGAGGAGGGTTGGAGACTAGGAGAATGGGGTGAAGGGTTAAAGAGGTAAAAGTTAGTAGTCAATAGGTGGTCACAGGGATGGGGAGCATGGCATAGGGAATGCAGTTAGCATTAATATGTTGGCTAGGTGGAGGGCCAAAGGAGGGAGAGAGCAATTGGGGGGATCGTTTTATAAACTATATTAATGTCTAACCAATGTACCGTATACTTGAAACTAATAAAATTAAAATTAAAAAAAAAAAAAAACTGTGCTCCTGGAGCACAGCTTTTGGTGCTCTGTAGGATGCAAGTGAGGTTGGCCTGTTTGAAGACACCTGTGTGTTCTCTGTGCCAGCATGGAACAATTGTGCCATAAGACCTCCACCAAGCATGTTGTACACCTGCTAAATGCGTCTCATAGATGGAAAGTGTGTTTAAGAATTTATTTCAATGGCAAACATTTCATTCTCAAAAAAAAAAAAAAAAAAAGCACACCTAAAACCCAATCTCTTTTTCCTATTGTTAGTAGTTCCAAACATTAGTTTTTTTATTTTACTATGAGGTTAAAATGTACCTTAGTGTGATTGTGAATGGTAAACTAGGTGACAGAATTGGGTATTGATAAATATTTTTCTGTTTTCATTAGTGTGTGAATTTTTAATATAAATATGGTAACAAAGCATTAAAGAGTTAAAATATTTTAATGTTTCAGTAATTTAATTTATAACAATTATAACTAAACCTATTGAATGTTTTTATAATGCCAACACTTAGTTTTTTTTAAGCAAATAAATTTATTATTGACAACTGAATGGCGTCTATCATTTTATCATACAGTAATTACATTCTTTCACTATACTTTTCTAATCAATTCTGCATGCAAGTACATGTTTTTAATGTCTGACTACTCTTGTATGTTTGCTATCAAAATACACTAAACTAAAAGAAAATTTATGTTAACAAGTGTCAACTTTTTCAAATTGATACCTATTTGTGCTAATATACCACCAAAAATCTCATTAAACTGATAGTTATTTGTTAATATTAGTAATGATAATACAACCTAACAGGAATTTTTCCTTTGTTAATTGACCTCTAATAACTCACTTTCATTAGTACGGGCCCTTAGCAAATGATTGGGAATTTTGTGGGGAACTGTTTAGGTTGTCACAATGATGAGGGGATGTTGTTCAGCCCGCTGTGCTGATGAGTAAGTTCAGTAGATTCACTAAATCAAAAGATTTAGATTTCAACTCTTGCCTTAACACCTGCCCACAGTGCTGGTGCTTCCAAATCCTGATGCTCTCAGGGTTCTAGAGGATAAGTTTCCTTCTGTAAGCATTTTAAGTTGTAGCTTCCTTTATTTTGCCAAGTCAGTGACCACTTGTCTGTCTGCACTGACTTATAAACATTTATTAAAATTGCTTATCCTCTGATGTTTCCTCTCCCATTCTCTCTCTCATTATGGGTGTATATCTTTTTTTTTCTTTTCTTTGCTGTCAATGTGAGATAATGTCTCCTAGAGGGTGTGGAAAATGTTTTCGGTGGCTTGGTTGACTGGCTAGTGTACTGGCAGTTAGTGCCTAGTTAGGGCTAGGTCTGCTAAACACAATCCTAGCCTTGCATCAACTCAGGATAAACAGTATGTAAAGACATTAATATTTTCTATAGCTGAGAGTAATGTATAATCTTATTCATTACTATTTCTCAGGCTGAGCTTTTTGAAACTTAATTTGTGTTCAGAAATAACAGTAAACGCAGTGTCATGGCTCCTTATCATGAAAAAGAACACACTAGATAAATTATTTTCTTATTCTAGCATTCAGCTTTGCTATATGTTTTTTCTTCATGTTCACAGATATTTTGGTAAAAGGTCTCAGTGGGATTGTAGAGGGGCGTCAAATCTCAGTGAACTGCATCAGCTATTAAGTGACATAATGATTAGAAGGTTAAAGACTGAAGTTTTAACCCAGCTGCCCCCTAAAATCAGACAGCGTATTCCATTTGATCTTCCATCAGCAGCAGCCAAGGTGAGAACCCTCGTTTGATTGAAAGTCTTATTTTAAATCATTTTAAATTATACTATGAAAGATTGCATGTATTTCATATTTCATAGAAGGAAAGATCTGCTTTCTTAAAATAGGTTTAATTAATAGAGCATATGAATTGGCTTTGTATTATTTCAAGAAGCAAGCAGGAAGAATTTAACTTTAGTCATCAAATAATGTGAAAAGATTCAGTATCCTAGTGATTAAAAAATATATTTCTGCTGAATACGGAAAAAAGAACTCCAATTACAAAAAAGATTTAGTATTAAGAATTCTGAGTATCTGTAGGATGTGAAGCAAGGGAAGTTGTATTTCTTCCTCTAGGATTTTTTTTTTTTTAACTATTAATAGCTGTCTTCTAGAATAATTTAGATGCAGCCTTGTTCTTGAAACCTTAAAACTCTGTGATCATGTAAGATGTGAAGTTCAACATATCAGAAAGCCAAATAGTATTTTACCTAATCCTTTTTCACATTTACTTTTGAGGAGTGCAATGCTTATATATTCTCTGAAATTCTTCAAATCTGGACATAACTTTGTTGACAAAGACTATTTATTGCTTCGTTCTATCTTGAAAGCTTAGAGTAAGCATTTTGTAAACATTACTGGAAAATTTTAAATGATCCAATTTTTCATCCACTATTTTAACATTAGAATTAAAAATGAGTTAATACATTATTATATCATATTTTATTTAACTAATATCCCCCAAGTCTTTATGCTTACATAAATAAAATTGTATCTTTTTATAAAAATACTTTGCTACTATATACATTTTCACTACCTTGCTTTCTTGTGTATTTGAATTTTTATTTCTACTTTACAAAATGTTTCCCCTTAAGAGGAAGCTACAATTGTTTGATTTATGATGTTAGCAAAGGGCTTGGTGTGCATGCATTGTTTGTCATTAGTGTCTGTCATTGGCATGAACATGTGACTGACCTACTAACTCCATGTTGATGTTTTTAAATAAACACGTTGACATCTTTGGGAATTTTTTTTATAACGTTCTATATAAAAAAGAAAATAAAAGGACATGATTCATTATTGCATCAATTGTTCCGATCTTATGCTGTGTTTCTAAACATTGTTATTTTCTCCCACAAAGGAATTGAATACCAGCTTTGAAGAGTGGGAAAAATTAATGAGAGCTCCAAATCCGGGTGCCACTGAGACTGTTATGGGGTTGATTACTCACATATTTAAACAAACTGCTATTGCCAAGGTACTCATTGCTGGGCCATCATGTATTTGTCTTGTTACAATTTATTTAATGTATTTTAATATTTCTACTTAAGCAGCTTGTTTGCATACGATAACGTCTTTGCCATTTAATTTTTAACTGTTTATTATTAAAAAATTCAGACATAGTCAAAGTAAACAATAGCACATTGAACACCATTATGCCTATTCATATATCTATCCTTTCCAATATAAGGATACACTTTGATGGTGTTTTACACGTTAAAGGACATACATATATTCATCTTAATTATCAGCTTTTTCCATGGTTTTACTACATAATTGCTACAAATAATTTTTTTTTTGTCAATCATTTTTAATTGGTATCATGTTTTTAGTTCCCTACAGAGGTAGATGTGCTCATGTTCTGTTTGTCTAAAAGTGCAAATTGGAGGGTGTTAAGAGTTTTTAAATTGCAGTGTGACTATCAAGTAGACTCATCACGCATTGTTTGTTGTTGTTTTCACCAGCGTGGTGGAACTTATACATACTAATGAGTGTCATCCCTCTCCAATTCTGAGATATTTCATAACATAATTTTTTTAAATGAAGTTTATTCATATATAATTTGCATACAGTGAAATTTGTCTTTTTCAAATGTATAGTTTGATGAAGCTTGCCAAATAAGTATCAATATTTTCATTACCCAAAAAAGTTCCCTCATGCACCTTTGCAGTCATTTTTCTCACCTAGCCCTCTAGATCTTGGCAGTCACAGATCTGCTTCTATCACTATAGTTTTGCATTTTCCAGAATATCACAAAAACAAAATCATATTGTATGTAGCCTTATGTCTGGCTTCTTTCATTTAACATGAGGCTTTTGAATATTGATTCATGTTTTTGCATGTGTCATTAATTTTTTCACTTTTTTTGCCAAATAATCCAATGTATGTGTATAACAATTCTTTTATTCCTTTATCAATTAATGACTACTTGGAGTATTCTCAGTTTAGGCTATTATAAATAAGCCTGTTATAATCATGTGTGTACAGGTCTTTGTATGTACATATTTTTATTTCCCTTGAGTAAATAACTAGAAATGGGACTACGGGGTCATATGAAAAATGTAGATTTATCTTTATAAAAAGCTGCCAACTTATTTTTCAAAGTACAGTACCATTTTGCATTCTTACTGGCAGCGCACGAGAGTTCCAGTTGTTCTAAATCTTTGTCAGCACTTGATATTATCAGCACGTGGTATTATCAGCACATGGTATTATCAATTTTTAAATTTCAGCCATTCTTCTTCATATGTAATGGTATCTCATTGTTATTTTAATTTGCCTTTCCTTAATGACTAATGATATTGAACATATTTTCATGTGCTTTTTAGGCATTTGTTTTCTTTTGAAAAGTATCTATTCATTCAAGCCCACATTTATATTGGGTTATAAGAGCTCTTTATATATTTTGTAAACAAGTCCTCTAACATATGTGTCATTTCCAAATATTTCGTCCAAGTCTGTGGATTTCATTTTTATTTTCTTAACATTGTTTTTCAAAGAACAGAAATTTAAAATTGATAAACAGTCCAGTTTATCAATTTTTTTCTTTTATGTTTTGTGCCTTTTGAGTCTTAATTAATTTTTGCTTAGTCTCAGTTTATAATGATTTTCTCCTATGCTTTTTTCTAAAAGTATTATAACTTTAGGTTTGTATATGTAGATCTATACACTATTTTGAATTAATTTTTTATGTGGTACAAAGTAAGGATAGAAGTTCAGTTTGTTTTTTTGTTTTATTTTGTTTTGTTTTTTTGCATATTGATTTTCAGTTGCTCTAGTACCTTTATTAGAATGACTGTTTTTCCCTCATTGAGTTATCTTGGAACTTTCACAAAATCAATTGCTTACATATGTGTGGGTCTGTTGCTGAACTTACTGTGTTTCATTGATCTATACATCTCACCTTACAGAATACTACAATGGCTCGATTCCTTTATAATGTCTTGAAATTACATAGTGTTCACGTCTACGTTATTCTTTTTGAAACTATTTTGTCTATTGTAGGTCCTTTGCTTTCCCTTCTGAGTTTAAGAATTAGCTTGTTAAGTATGTACAATTTTGATGGGTATTATTTTTAATCTATAGATCGATTTGGAAGAATTGGCTTCTTTTTTTTAATTGGGGTATAATTGACACACCTAGTTCATTTATGATACACATAAAGTTTTTTCCTTTGGCAGGCCTGGGTTAGGAAGAAGGTGACTACCATAAAAGTGGATAAGAAGAAAACACCTAAAATTTAACAAAATTATAAAGGCTGAACGTGGGCTATCATGACAGTTCAAAATATCAGGGGATCCTGACACAAGTAGTTTACGCTCACACACAAGCCTTATTTTCATTTGCCTCCACCTGGTACTGACTAGGAAATCAGAGAGTATCTTCATTAGTGGAGTACAAGCATAATACCCTGCCTATTTCCAGGACACTTTTCTCATACTAAGCAAAAAGCCTCACATCACTGTGGGAACGGCAAAAGATGCCCTCTCCCAGCCTCCAAAGCCCAGTCCAGGAGTAACTGCTTCTGGGGGCTAGGTAGAAACAAATACTGTGTATCCCTAAGGGTTGAGCAGGAAACCCTATTGAAATCAAGACCTTGCACTTATATAAGACAGATTTGTTACTGTTGGAGGAGGAGCAGGAACGTCTCTCCTGTGCAGGACCACTCAGTTACAAGATGTAGTTTAGTTGCCACAGGGCAAAGGAGCAGAAACAGCAGGAAAGTCCCACCCCCAAAGCTCAGCTGAAGCAAAGGGCCTGTCTTCTTATACTGAGTTCCTACCAGGAGACCCAAGAGATTTCCTGCCTCCTACCTACCATGAACTTAACACTAAGAAATCATCAAGGTCAATCTCCTACTGGAGGAGAGAGACACACTTTCATAGTATAGACGTGGTACAGACATGCAGGGACTGGTGAAAGCTAAGAATACAATTGGTACACTTAGAAAAACCTTGGTATACACTGTCATAAGGTAGAAGTATCCCACTGTTGGCGGAATTTGAAGTTTGTGGTGCACTGAACCAGAGAACCTAAATACAACTTAATACTGACTAGATTGTCTTAGTCCCTCCCATACTATCACCCTGAAAGAAAAAGAATCATGCCCATTTCTGGATGTAAGTATCATTTAATCTCAGTCAGTCCTGTTCTTCTAGACATAATTTCTAGCATTAAGTAGAAATTATGAAATAAAAATTAAATTTTTTAAAAAATCCATTAAGTGATAAAGCAATCAATAATGCCAAATAGAGAAATGACCCAGATTGTAGAAATATTACACAAGGACTTTAAAAAAGATATGAATAGTATGTTAAAGGACATAGTAGAAAAGATAAACAATATACATAAAAAGATAGGGGATTTCAGAATAAATTTGGAAACTATAAAGACAGTAAAATGGAAATGATAGAAATAAAAAATATTTTCTGAGAAAAAGAAAATTCTTCCAATCAGCTTATAAGCCAGTAGTAGAGATAAAATGTAGTAATGAAAAATCTAAATGTCCTAACTATTTATTCTAGAGAAAGGAAAACTTAGCTTTAAACTTGTAGTACATCAATACTCAATGAAAAGGAATGAACTATTGGTAAACACAATGAGTCAGATGAATCTTAAAAGCATATACTGAATGAAAGCACTCAGTCTCAAAAGTTTATATACATCATGACACCACTTTTATAACATTTTCAAAACACTAGAATTATAGTGATAGAAAATACTATTATACCAATGTCATTTTCCTGGTGTTGATATTGTAATATGGTTACCTAAGAAATTATCATTAGAGGAGGCTAGTTTAAGGGTACACAAGAACTCTACATTATTTTCACATCCTCTGGTGGACCTTTTTATTTCCAAATTTTAAAAATGTATGTATAGTAGATACAATAAAACAACCCAATGACAAAAAATTTCTAAGTTAATCCAAAAAAAAAAAAAAAAAAGGAACAGAGAACAACTGGGTCGAATAGAAACAACTACCAAGATGATAGGTTTAAAATAAATCCAGGCATATCAATAATTACATTAAATGTAAATGATCTAACCTACCAATTAAAAGGCAAGAATTGTCAGATTGCATAAATCATATAGTATCTACAAAAAGATCTCTAAATATGAAAGCTAATGGTTAAAAATAAATGCAGGAAAAAAGATATATCAGGTAAACACTAATCAAAAGAAAGATGAAGTAGACATATTGATACCAGATAATGTAGACTTCAGAACAAAGAATACACCCAAATTAGGAGACTTATATAATGATAAAGGAGTCAATTCATCAATTATACATAATAGTCCTAAATATGTGTATATCTAGTAACGAAAACTAATCACTAAAAATTTTTTAGAAAACAGAAAAGGAACAAATACCTTCCAAATAATTTTATGAATCCAGAATTATCCTGCTATCAAGACCAAGCAGACTGAGAAAACTACAGATCAATATCCTCCATGAATGTCAAAATTCCTAACAAAATATTAGCATATCAAATTTACTAATACGTTAAAAAGTATTTATACCAGCAATACAGAGTTTCTTTAACATTTGATCAATTAATCACTATAATTCACATTAACCATGTAAAAATGGAAAACCTTGTAATTATTCTAATCACATGACAGAATTCGACATTCATTCTTGATAAAACCTCTTGGCAAAGTAGGAATAGAAAGGGACCTTCTTCATCCCAATAAAAGGCATTTATGAAAAACGTACAATTAATATCATCCTTAATGCTCAAAGACTAAATGCTACTCCCCTGAGATGAGGAGCAAAACAAGAGCTGCTCCCACTACTTCTGTTCAACATTGTTTGATTCTTATAACTGTCTGGTAAGACTGAAAAAGAAATAAAGTTTATATAGATAGAAAAGGAATAAATAAAATTGTCTATATTCACTGACAACATCATAGTCCATATAGAAAGTCCAAGAACACTCAAGGTGCTAGAACTAATGAGTGAATTTATCAAGG